AAGTCAATGGTGGGCATTTAATTCGGGTCCTCTAGAAGGGCAAAAAGTGCTCTTAATCACTTAATCATTTTTCCAGCCCAGTTATGTGCCTTTGCATCATGAATAATCTCTCCAAATACAAGTTCTTAATTTGTGTAACAGGGACACTCCACCTGCCCTTCTTTTTCATACCTATTACAGAAATGGATCATTTAGGAAACATTAATTGAATGTGCACTTGGGAGTCAGACAGATGGAAATGTGCTTCATAACAGCCAACAAAGAACATCAACACAGAATTCAACCACCTTGTATTTTTTCTATAATTCTAATAAATATTATCTCCATAGTCTCAGACTCTATCACCCTTCTTGAGAAGTAGGGTTTCTGCAAGCAAAAAAAAAAAAAAAAAAAAAATTCAAGACCTGGAAAGCATGCAGGTAATGAGATGCACTTAGCCCCTCCATTTCCATTCAGTGAATGAGGACAGGAGAAGACAGAAGCCTATTCTGCTGGTCTCTTAAAGTGTTGTGTACTCTGGGATTTCTAGCTCTAAAAATGTTCAGTGTCCCTAAGGCCCACTTCCACACTGTAATCAGAGCATCATGCCTTTACACGTACAACTGCATTTAGAATGAGGAAGCAGTGAGATCTGGGCCCTTATAGACCCATCATCCCAACCCAGTACCCAGTACAGATACATAAGTGCTGGCTGAATTGGCCTGACTATCCTTGGTCTAAGTGTGCATGTCACTGTGCCATACAGATTTTTCATTGGTGCGGTGAGTGCAAATTTGGGAGACAATGAAAAGAGATTACTAAAATATGCCCTTTTCTGGGACAGTAAAAGTTATATGTTGCCCACAAAAAAAGAAAGCAAAGAGAGATTTGGTATCACCAATATGCTTTACAGCAGAGAAGGGCATTATGGAAAGAAAATAACACGTGCTACTGATGACTACAGGTATGGAGGGCATTTAGCAGAGATTGTGTTGCTCCTTGGTTTTATGAACTCAATCTTGGTGACTTCAATAAAAGTTGAATCACTAATGTGTCTCCAGCATGCGCCATTTCCTTTGGACTTTACTATGTCATGGGAAATATTTCTATGTCCTTTGTGACTACTTCTTGGCTAAAGGGGCTTCCTATATTATTACTACATTGTTGGGAAGTTCTTTACTGACATATCTGATGGCTGTAGTCATCCTGGGGTAACTGGCCTCTAGTTCTTAAGTGTTCCTTTCTTAGGTAGGGGTTAGATTGTTTGAATAAGGCACTGTCATGGCTTCTCCAATTGCTTCTCCAAATTCTCCTATCTCCTATTACTTTGCAATCACTGATGGGCTGCGTATTTGTGAGCATTCTAGATTTCCTGTGTCCCCACCATAAGTGGCTCCTGTAGTTTCAATCATCTAGGTTTTTGGTGAGATAACACAGTCTCCAGGAAATGAATAAAAGAGGCACTTTCACTTTCCACTATGTGAACTACTAGGGTTAGTGCCTAAAAATTTTTCCTTCCCACGAAAGCACGGCTAGAAATGGGGTCAGTCGTGTTTTAAACCAGGTAGTCTCTTTTTCCACCTGATAGCCTGAGAATGCAATTTCTCAAAGCACAGATGCTACAGAAAAAAATTAAAACCATAATCAAATAAGTCTGGGAAATGCTGGATTAAATAAAATTATAGAGCTTTCTTTATAATATGCCATTTTAGATCCTTTGATCTGCTAATGGCATCAGGATGCTAGGAGATAGAGTTAAAATATACAGTACTTTTCCAAATTTTTTTGGCCCACCAAATCTTTGTCTCAAGACTTCCCTCATGGGACTAATGTTCTAGAAGTTACTTAGGGGAATGTGAGTTTAGACCTATAATGCTTAGATTCAGTTTCTTTCAAGGAGAAACCAAAAATCACAGTAAAGGGCAAAGGGACGGGAAAGAAATGGAAAAAGAATATAAGTCTGGAAGCGACTGGCAATCATTGTGTTTCCGGAGGAAAAATGAGTTTCTCTGGAAATGTAGCAAAGTGTCTAATTTTTCCTATTTCCCCATTTTTGTGTCTTCTGATCTCTTCATAAACCTCAGGAAACAATGGCAACAGTTTGTAGCCACTTGTCTAGAAGACATGGTGGGTTGAACCCAATGACTACCAGACAGCCAGGGCTGGAAGACTCATATGAGGAGATGATTTTCCTTTAAGTCAGTTCAGCGAATTCTGCACAGTGGACACTGGACAGAATATCACCCAAACTAACTCAGTGTCTAAACTCTCAGGATGCCACATTCTGATACAGGCTTTTCACTTCCTGTTAACAAGTAGCACCACTCCCAGAGCATCACTATACATACCCTACACAAGCATGCATAGGGGAAGCTCCACCCCCAGGGCATCACTATACATCCCCTACACAAGCATGCATAGGGGAAGCTCCACCCCCAGGGCATCACTATACATCCCCTACACAAGCATGCATAGGGGAAGCTCCACCCCCAGGAAATCACTATACCCAGCCTACACAAGCATGCATAGGGTGGTAATCAGTTGGGAAAGACTTTGTAGGCTTTCACAACTGCCATACTCTGACTGAGTCCCATAATGACGCCCCTGTTGACATGTAGGTTATTGATACAGTGTCAGGGAGGGCACTATTTCCTAAATATCATGGCCAGGGTCTAACAGGGAATCTGGCTTAGGAAGTCTAATAATTCCATCTCTGAGGTCAACCAAATATCACACCAGGGGTCCTTGCTTAACATTGTTTGCCCACTGAAAGGGTGAAGTGTGATAGCCTTAGTGACTCCAACTTAAAACGGTAAAAGTCCCCTCTTAGGTAAGGCCATTTTGCTTTCACCATCAACTGCAAGTTCAGAAATCATAACCCTAATTATCTATCTTGTTATGATTAACATGACCAAGAAAAAAAATAAGTAGACACAAAGGGGCCTGCATTGTTGTTCTAGGAATGGACAGCAAGTACCTTGAAGACAGGATTTTGTCTGGCCCACATGTGTGCTCCTCTCCAGGCTCTGTATAGGACTGGTGCATGGCATTTGCTCCAGGGATTAGCTGACAGAGAAAACAACTAGCAACCAAAATCCAACCAGGTAGACTTCCTCTTGGAGCATGGGGTTTTTCCCTGAGGTGGATGCAGCCACTATCTCTGTGCCCAAGAGTTGTTCTGAGCATTCACTGCTTACAGTAGTGACAAAGATGTGTCCAGGGTCCTAAGGACATGTCTCAGCCAGACACTGTTCCAGGAATATTTACTCATTTTTGGAGCCCCAGCACTGTACAATCACTGCTGCCTTGTGGAAATCTTTAGTGATGTGGACACACGAGGGGCCAACCAAGCAGTCAAGACATCCCACTGCCAGTTGATGCCTAAGTGTCAGGAGGCCAGCTTTTGTAAGAAATAACTATTCACAGAGCAGACAGATTTGATCTGGCCACTGTTTCCAGCAGGGCATGTTAGGATGTCCATCTGGTTACAGCAGCAGGTCCCTGTGTAACTCACTTCAATTGCTCCTGGTGCCCTTCTAGGTCTCTCTGTTAACTGTGTCTCTGGGGGAGAGGGATATCCAGGGTGTCCTTCTGGCATACATGGCTCAGAAGGATAGCCAACTTGAGGTCTGCAGGCCTCCCACCAATGAAGCCTCACACTGACCTTTCATGGGAGAATGCCAAGGAACAAAGGGCAGTGTGGCAAAGGGCAGTTGCCAAGGGGGTGGGCAATCTCAGATATGCTGGGATGAGCATGTAGTGGTAGTGGCAAAAATGGAGTACATAAAATCAAACAAAAGCAAGGACATGTAAGGTAATGACATACAATTAATCTTTCCATTTTCCAGGTCATCAGACTCTAGTGCTGTTTCAGAGGGACACAGTCCATGAACGGGGGCCTTCCTGTACATGGCTTTGGAAATCCAAAAGTCCTAACTTTGTGCAGTGCTGGGGTTTCTGAGGGTAAATTCTTCAGGGTACAAAGGTTGGGATCTCAATTGTGTGTGCTCTATATAACTGGCTCCCCCTGGAGTTTTATTCCTGACAAAACATTCTAAAGGCTTAGACCTTAACTAAATTCCCTGGGATGCCAGTGATGTGAAGCAAGAGAGGAGAGGCATCTGAAAAGTTTCAGGAGTATAGCAAGGGCAACCTTCCCAGCAAACACTGATACCCTCTTACACACAGTTAATACCACAGTGCTTCTTGCCAGTATCTGAGATGTTCTGGCTTACACAGATGGTTCTGTGCCTTTTGCTAATGCCCCATATCTATTGGAATTTTTTATACAAACTATATTTTGTTCATACATAATAAAAGTACAGTAAAGGAAAAAACTACTAATATTGACTATATTATTATTTTGCATAACTGTTCATTTGCACATGAGTTTAAATACTAGACACTAAAATTTTTGCATGTAGTGAATGAGTGTGAGCACAGTTGAAAACTGCAGGCATTTCTTTTTTGGTTCTGTCATTTCATCTTTTCTCTTGGTTTCCTTAGTTAAGGGAGAAGATAGGTTCCAAAGCAAATAAACCAGTCTCCTTGGCTTCACTGACTAAAAGGCCAGCAAAATGGCTTTGTCCTTTTGGTGTTTTACCTAACCATTCACTTGCATCTCTGAGGGATTTTCTAGGAGAGGGCTCGGCAAACTCAAGGTTTCTCTGGTTGCCAAGCTCTTAGGAAGAGAGTGCTTTCTTTCAAAACTTGGAAAGAGACATTCCAAAGTAACTAGCCATTAGATAGGAGCCAGCAATAGGCTGCATATCTATGAAAGAAGAAAGGAGGGAGGAAAGAAAATGCATAACATAAACAAGAAAAGACAAAACCTTAAAGAGGAAGGAGAAAGGAAAACATTTAGATTCCTTGAGTGATGGAAATAAATACCAAAGCTATTAGTTTCAGTTCAAAGAACGTATCACTTTATGCTGTTTATTATTTCTTGAGGGTTATTTATTTTATCTTAAAATATCCAAAGCGTAAGAGGGGTCCTAGAGGTAAGCAGTCATGAAACTGACCTGGTCCGGAGAGGGCCTGTGGTTGGAATGCTGTGACCTCCCAGGAGATCGGTGGTGGTGGTGATGGTGGTGGTGGTGGTAATGGTGATGGTCCTCGTCATAGTTGTCTGCCATCAGCTTCATTCTGTTCTGGGTCTGTGCAGAAGGGAAACCAGGAGAGATCCCATCAGGAGCTAGACAATAAGGTCCACAGACACAGGGTACACTGACAGCACCTACAAGGAGGACTCCCTTTACTTCCTTCCAGAAGTTCTCATTTCTAGGCACACTGAAACCTAACCAAGAAGCTTTAGTGAAGGAAGCTTTAGTCACACTCTTGAACTACTACCTATGTGACATCATATACTTGTCAATGCTCTTTTTAAGAGGGGATGGATGCATCCTAAGGTACAATCAGAGATTCAGACTGAGCTAGCCACCACAAGGTGCTCACAGTCACATCCTACATTCTGGAGAAGGTCAAAAGGAAGCCCTGGAAGGAATGCTGGGAGAGGGCTGTGTAGAGACATAGAATGACAAACAATGCTCTCAAAGGACAAGCAAAGGAAGTCTGCTCCAAATCTGCCAAGTGCAGGGACACTGATGGAGATGGCTCACTGCTGTGATGATGACGCTATCTCGGGCAAGGTTGTATCTACAAACATTTAGCTGCACTGTTCTTTGAGGGAACTGGTGCAAAGTCAGTGGAAAACAAGCTGACTGCTCTAGTCATGTAGTGTTTGTCATAAAGGAGACTGGGAGTCATAGTTAAATCTAGAGCCACAGGGTTGTATTCCTTTATGATGCAGGGCAAGAAGCAGACCAGGGATGAACTGACTTAAGGAGGCCACAATAGCACAAACAATGCCTGAATCCCATTGAAAAGGGCAGGAGAAATTAGCTAGGCTGGAAAGTCAGGGAGTCTGGATTTAAGGATAGCACTGCCCGATTCAAGTGTTGCTCCAATTTAACTTGAAGGTTGTGTTGTCCTAAGGTGATTAACTGTTACTAAGCCTGGATTTCCTTACCTCTAAAAATGGGAGGGATCCTTCCTGGAATTTTTGTGAGGAGCGAGTGTCAGTCAAATGTCTTTACTACCATCATTGCTACCATTCTTTGCTGTAGAACTTTCTCCTTTGTGTATTCTGTGTCCTTGGCCTGCAATTCCCTTCCTTGGATTTTCCTTCATCCTAATTTCCAAGTCTCACTAATTCACAGCACTTTCTGCCACAGCCTACTCTTTTGTCTGCCTTTTTCTTTTCCTCCCTTCCTTTCCTCCTTTCTTCCTTTCTCCCTCCCCCTCTCTCTTCTTCTTTCTTTTCTTTTCTTTCTCTATTGCAGTGCTGACAATTGAACCCAGGGCACTGTACATACTAAGCATATTTTCTGCCATGCAGCTACACTCTCAGCCTCTTTTAAGAGTTTTCTTTGTGCCTACCATTGGAGCTTGGATTACAGAAGCAGACATCAGGTTGATACTGTTACTCGGAGTGGCTGGAAGGATGAGGGATGTGGCCATGCTAGACAGGGACTGAATGTCTTTCTTCACTAGGAAAGGTCACCAAGAGTTGAGGACATAATGTGGGTTGCCATAGCAGTCCAAGATGACAGTGAACCATCAGTACTCTCAGAGAGCCAGGAGATGGGGGCCAACAGGGCTTCCAACCAGTCTGAATTTGACTGTGTAATATAATAAATATTTAATATTAAAGAGCATTATGGACCAAAGAGAGTGCATGCTCTCAGTATTTTTCATGTACAACTCTGCTTTCCAAACTTTGCTTGGAGGAATTATTACTATTATCATTTGGCTGCCAGTAAAGGAAGACATGGGCTTTAGCCCCAAGAGCCATTTCTTGACAAAGGGCATGGGCATTTCTGGGTCTTCCAGATTTCAATCTCCAGGACCCTGTCCTTGTCTGGCTTCTAGTAGAGAAGGCAAACAGCTGAACAGGTAGAAACAGTTTTCCTTAAGTACCCAGCCAGGGTGTGTTAAGCTTTGAAAATACCTCATGTCCCAGCTTTACCTGCCAAAGGATGCCTCCTGATTTATTCATTCCATCTTTTAAAATGTGTACACTATTTGAAAGGTCCCAAAGTGAGCATAAAAATGCATGTGTATGATGAAAAAATATAAAAAGACCAACTTAAAAATTAAATTTAAAAAATCCCAGGCAACCTTTGGCAGCTGATAGCATTTCCATTCTTCATTTGTCCACTTAATGTGTCAGAAGACCCAATGGACAAAGTAGGCCTCTGAGAAAGAGCACGGCAGTAAAGCCCTTGCGGACAAAATCCTCTTTAGTACTCTTGCCATTAGAATGAGATGCTGAAGTCCAGCATTCACACCTAAAATCCCAGTATTGCCATGGGGGACTGTACTTGTGAACTCATTGACTAATAAATCTGGAACAGTTTCTTCCAAATAGAATTCTATGGGCCTGAAGGGAGCTATGAGATCTATGATGGTGGAGAAGGAAGGGGCAAGCCTAAGAATGAGCGATCGAGGCTAAATGAACAAATAATAACACTGCTATTGTAAACATCATAATGCCCCATCCTTCAGGAGGGCCCCTGTGACTTTATGAGGTCATTCTCTTACCAGTGACAACCCTAAAGCTCCCTACCTTTGAACCGTGTCCCATAAAAGAATGTGCAAGCTAAACAAGATGCTATATGCAGCCCTAAATGTGTCTGCTGAAATGAGGTGTTGGAGAGTAGGCATGTCATGGGATGAAGACTGTAAATGAATGATGTCATCTCTCCAATTTGGTGCTGAAATATAAATAAACCACATTGTTCATATGAATAGCAGATCTGGGGGAAATGTACACAGAGCAATTGTGAGCGGAAGGGGCTTCTTTTGATTAGTCTGCGAGGAGAGAAGAGTGTGAAACAGAGGTGAAAAAATTAAGCTTGGTCTGAGATTTCAGACTATTTTTATTTATCTTGCTTGTAACATATCTCTTAAACTGTGACCGATTTCTTACAGCCTGGGTGATCATGTTATGTCCCATAAAACAACTGAGCAATCTGGCTCCTTTAATGTAAACTGAAAATGGACCTCTTTTTGTATCCCGCCCCCATAATCTGCACTACTCATCCTCATCCCTGCCCTGTTATATTGTTTTTCTACCACACAAAGAAAAGCCCAGGAGGATAAGAAATGGTAGGATAATACTCCTTAATGGTCAACAAAAGAAAAACTGCAGAAAGTTTTTAACAAGGATTCGAACAAGGATGGCAGCTGTTCAAAATCCATACAAGTTCAGCAGGTGGCCCAAGTAGGATGGTTCATGTCCCTATAACCAAAAGATACATGAAAGACCCACCACAAAGTAGCAAGTCTTTGGGGCAGACCTAACTGAAAATTCAGAAAAACTCATGGGAAGTTAGAGATAGACAACCATTCTGTAGCACAGCATATAGAAACACAGGGACTGATTTAGTGATTCAGTGGAGTCCCAACCTGTTACCCTGAATCTCCCATCTCTGGCCACTTGTGTTAGACTCTTTTTGCTATATGCAACATCATGATTGCTGAGATAAATCTGGAGCTACTAGCCAAGTCAATTTGTTCTTTAAGGAATATTCTATGTCTCAGTAAACTGGACCTAGTGCCTACCTGCACTATCACCTCATTATGAATAAGGCATACCTAGGTGTTATGAAATGCATTTTCTTACTGTTCACTAGCCTTGGGAAGACCAGGGGACTTTGGAAGGCTTTCACCAGTACCAAAAGTCAACCTGGAAAACTAAGACTTTATCCATTAACTAAAATCCTTGATGAACACCGTGTGTGCAAAGGTGCTAGATACTATATAGCCCCTCTAGCATTTCTGAAGGCTTTATTCATGGAGCTTTCAAAATAAGATGAAAGTCCTTGATTGACTAGTAGATGCCATAGCCCAATGACAATCTGTAGCTATAAAAGTGTAATACTGAAACTTTACACATATCTTAGCCAGGTGGCAATAAGGAATCAAGCTTTGATCAGTCATCTGGATGATATTAGCATTGAAACCTACATAAGTGTGGTTTAAAAATGAAGGAAAGATGCATACAATAAGATTTGTTACTGTGAGAAATGAAGACAACACTGCACTGTGGTAATTACAGTGTTCTTCTATCAGGCTTTCTTTTCTCCCTGTTTCCCAGCAGGGTAATCTAAAACATTCCAGAATTTTTCTATATCTCTCTCTACCTGATCTGAAAACAATGGGAAGTTCCTGACTGCAAGTAAAAGATGAGAAACCAGTTGGCAACTGCAAAATAAGAAGGGCAGATGGGGGCCCTGCTGAATGCCCTGGAAGCTTAGATGACAGTGAATCTTAATTGAGTAGGATCTGGTTTTCAATGATGAGGTCACAGTGGACAATAAAATAAGTAGGAGCTGGAGAAGCTATAGGAATCAATAGACAGACTCTGTATAAGAGTAGGAATCAGTGAGGTCAAGTGTCTACTATGGACAACTGCTCAAAAAGTCATTTAGTAATGACCAATGACAGGAATAATTATGTGCCAGTTAAATGTGTGGCTAGAATGTACCTATCAAAACCTTACATTTGGGGGCTGGGGAGATAATTTAGTTGGGATAGTAACTTTCCATAGACGCACAAGGACCCAAGTTTGATCCCCACCCTACATGTAAAATTCTAGGTGTGGTGGTATATACTTGTAATCCTAGCACTGGGAAGCAGAGACAAGAAGCTGTGTAGGGATTGGTGGCCTATGAGCCAGGCCTAATTGGTGATCGAAGATCCCATTGAGAGACCCTGTCTTAAATCCAAGTTGATCTCTGGTCCCTAAATTCTCATGCACACAAGAAAAGGCATACCTACACCTCCATACCTCTAACACACACACACACACACACACACACACACACACACACACAGAGAGAGAGAGAGAGAGAGAGAGAGAGAGAGGACATAATTATTCTAAGTTTACTTGGCAATGAAAGAAAGCCCCTATGTCTATAATTGTTCATCTAGTGAATGGAGGAACAGAAAAAAACAACAAACAAACAAAAAAACAGGCTTGTGGTTCTAGGGTCTGACAGTAGTAACATGAAGAGTTACCACTGTCCTAGGCAAGCTACAGAGACCAAAGCAAAGGTAAACAAGACATATGGAATTAGGGCTGACTATAGCA